AGAGAGAGAGAGAGAGAGGGCTGGTACATGCAAGGTGTTCGTCATTTACGTCGCGCTGGTACGGTAAGGCGAGTATATGCGCGTATACATAGGCGACACAGTGCGGCCGTGTAATGAACTGTGTCACCGTGATTCGTGCGGCACAGGGATGCACGTGTGTGACGCGCGCGGCGCGGCGCGACGGCCGGTGCACGCCAACGTTACGCAATAACTGCGACGAAAGCGCGCGCGAAAAAATCGCGACTCCCTTATGTGCGTACCGCGTATGTACATAAATACGCGACCGGTGCACACCGAAGTGCGCTAATGAACCGTATCGCTACTATATTTAGTGCACCGGTAAACACGCCGCGACGCTAATCCGTGGATACTGCACGCACTCCTATCATTGTATAATCGCGCAAAAAACACCGTATACGTGTACCACATGGACGTTAGTTTCGTTCGTGCGCCGCGCTCGCTACGTAGCCCCGCTCGCGTATACGTGCCCGCACACGCAAAGAGAACCCCGCTGCACGGTTGCAACGCGACCTACACACCGAGACGAATAGCGAGCCCGCTATTATATATGGTTTGATGCGGAGAACGGGTAGAGAGGAGAAAAAGACGAGACGAAGCATAGGCCGCTACGCGAGACAGAGAAAGAGACAGAGCGAGAGAAAGAGAGTAGGCACGGTGGGAAAGAAGGAAGGAAGGAAGAACGGAAGGAACGAGGGAGAGATAAAGAGGGAGACGGTGTACCGTAGTACGGGCTACATTCTGTCGGCCCCACTAGCCCACTGACTCGATGCACTCCTCGTTCCTTCTTTCCCTCTCCTCTGCACACGCTCTTCTTCCCTCTTTTCTCGCTCTATTCTCCGCGGCTAGCGGGCCTCCTCGTTCGCCACGCGTCCCGTCCAACATGCACGTTTATACGGTATATACATAGCTCTGCACACGCCGATACACATCTGAACACCGCTCTATCCCCCGTACGTCCTCCCCTCTCGTTCCCGGTGTTGCTCGAGTTCCGTGCCGGTGTGCTGTGCCTCTACCGATGAAATGGGGTGATAATGAACCGTTAACCCCTTTCGCGAGTCGGTGCGCGCGGGTTCGCGACTTTTTACGAATACCTCTGCTCGATCGGATATCCGTCGTTCGTTTTTCTTTCGTTCGCTTGCCCGTACGTCGAGCGTGCAATCCTTTGGAGACGACGACTTTTTTCGCCAACCGGCAACCTCGTGGCGATCTTTTTTCCCAAACGTTTTCCTATCCAACGGTACACACCGGTATATACCGATACACCACCCCTTTCACTTTCTTTTTATAGTCTCTTCGATATTTTCTACGGTTTCCGTCTCGTAACCAACAGACGCCGTACGCGTATTATACGTTCGAACGGTCGTTCGTAAAAATGTAATGGCCGCATTTCGTCGATACGACATCGATCGCGATGAAACGAACCGATATACCGAAGTTATTTCGACCACACCTGTCACGACGCGCGATCCAAAGTTATTCTCTAAAACGTATTCGATAAATCGTAACTACCGTTCTATTCCGAAACATCTTCCGCACAAAATCCATGTAACCTAAACCACAACATCGAACACCAGCCGAAACTCCATCGCCGACAACGCCATCTCGCCGTCCTTCTGTAGCTAACGGTCCTTCGTTTCATCTACGCGTTCGTTATCACACGGTTAGCACGTTTGCCGCGACAACGTGCAAACTCGAGGTTGCACTCCGTTATCACTGCTGGAACGAACGGACAAGTCGATATCCGGTGCGAGTTCGTCGCGTTGTCAGCCCTGTCGTCGATTTCGCGCGTTCCACGCGGCATGAAGTATCGCGACAACGTCGCGAAGTTGAAAGCGAAAAACGCGGGTCGAAGCTGCGCTAAAGCGGTCGACGCATTTCTGCGGCACTTCGTAAACTATAGCCCGAGCCCGGCCGGTATACGTGTGTATCCCCGGTGCACGCGTGTGTCTGTGAATTACTTTCGCCCCGGGGGGCATCGCATCTTATTTAGGTCGTGTACACCGAGCGTATACTTTGGTTCTGGCACGAGCGTGCCGGCGTTATTACGGCATCGCCGCCACCGCTGCTGCTGCTGTGTCGCTGCTACTGCTGTTCTGCGCGACACAGAGGGACGCAGGTGATTCGTTCGCGCACGTTGTACCGCGCCGAGACACACGAGTTTCGTCGTCGCGTTTCACGAGGCGACGGATTACGGCTTTTCAAGGCGATACCGCCATCGGGATCGTGAACAGGTGTCGTGGGTAATAATAGGGTAGCCGGGACATCGGCAGATTTGTTGGGAGAAGAGCGTTGTAAATCGCCACGGTGATGTTTGTTCGAGTAAAAGTGGCAGATGTATAGGTTATGTGTACGGGTA